TCCTACGGCCCATGGTGTGGCTGGCTCAGGCTCCCTCCACCCTGTTGTTCTTTTTGGCCAGTCCTCCAGACCTTTTTCATTTTGGATTGGCTTGTTTAAAGAAAGACATCTCAATAAAAGTAAAAGGTACTTGTTAACTCTTCTGGCTGTTTGGTCTATCTCTATGTTGCGGGTCTCAGCGTGAGCCACTACAGCTGTGTGGAAGTTGTGGCCGTAACATTTCCCAAATTGGGATCAATAAAGTTCTTCTGATCTTCTCTTTGTGCTACGTGTATATCGGTCACTGCATCAAGCGAGAAACAATGAATCAGTGCAGTCAGAGAAACAATTAAATTGACCTTTTTATTATTTTAAAGCAACAACACAACACCAATGGAGTATCAAAAGAAATATCAAATCAACGTGTGGATGAAACGTATTAAAACCTAAATAAAAAACACATTTTAACTCGGCACATTTTCAACATGCAGCGTCTATTTGATTATTCTCAGCTTGTGAGGAACATGGCAGGATTCAGGTGGAAGAGGTACTTATGTGCATTAAAGTTACTTTAAATGTACAACACGTAAACATACTGTGCGAACGTCTAACAACATGTAATGTAACATACAACACATGCAGTGCGTCACGGCTCTCATGCTGTTTCTGTGTTAATATCACATGTAAAGCAGGATGAATAAAGCCACGACGTGCATGTCTCTGCATTGGATTTACACACTTGCTTTGTGCAGTTCATACAATCCAGAACAACAGCTTTTTAGACTCAACCCCCCCCCCCTGAGGTGTGGCGTGGAAATAACAGGCTTCACAATGCAAGCATCTCTTATAAATAAATACAAACAAATATTCATGTTAGCGTCATGTTGTGTTCCCCCTGACGTGCGCGACACTTTTTTAAAAAGCATGATTTTTTTAGTTTGAAAGGGAAGGCTTCACAGACGAGACGAGGCACAAAGAAGAACCGCGAGGACAGCTCAGTGATCACATGAAGAACTCAGTTTCCCAGCATGCAACAGGACTACACTCCAGCTCGCTTTAACTGCACCTGCATGGAGATGAGAGATGTTAGAGATCAGAGAGAGAGGGATGTTTCCTTTCGTTGATTCAAATTCAAGACTCTGACAGAAGGCTGTTTTTTTAAAGCAATACTCCATTTACCCTCTCGAGTGGTCTTTTCCTTTATCATTACTTTTCCAATATATATCTTATCGTTTGAACAGATGATTATATTCCTGACGTCCTGTTTGGCTCTAAAATAGTTATGAAACCCAGAAATCAAGTAAACATCTCTCCGTGTTCAGTACAGTCTGATCAATAATCTAAATCTGCTTTATTCACTCTCGTAGAAGGCAGAGAGAACAGAGACTCGTTACTCTGTGGAGTGAAAATACATTTTAAGCTCTAAAACACTATTTCTCTTCTTCTGAATTAGATGAATTTGAGTTACCAAGTTTGTAAAGGCTTTGGCACGTTTCAGGCTGTTTTCTCATTAACTTTGGCAAACAATCAGCAAAGGTTTCTGCTGAATTAGATGGAGACGAAATTTGTAAAAGCTCGTAAACGTTGGCACATTTCAGGTTGTTTTGTTATTCACTTGGGCAAACAATCAGCCAGAATCAAGACGTTTTTAACTCTAAAACCCAATTCTCTAGTGAATTAGATGGATTTGAGTTAGGAGGTTTTTAAAAGCTTTTAAACGACGGAACATTTCTGGCAGTTTTCATTTTTTGGGCAGATAATCAGCCAAAATCAAGCTATTTTAAGCTCTAAAACCCAATTATACCTCAGCTGGATTAGATGGATTTGAGTTACCAAGTTTGTAAAAGCTTGGGCACATTTCACTTTGGCAAACAATCAGCCAGAATCAAGCCGTTTCAAACTCTAATTTTCCTGCCGGATTACATGGACTCTATATTATGTGAGGTTTACCCGGACAGGTGAGCAGCTCAGTTGGAAATGTCAGCGTTGTTGTTTCTGTTTCCACACTTGTGGTGGATGAGCAGCAGCACGACGCCCAGGAAGAAGCACACGGAGCCCACGGTGATGTAGGCGATGCCCAAAAAGGGGTTTTTCCCCCCCATCCAGGAAATGGTGCTCAGAATCATCCGCTTCCTGCCCTCGAAGCTGCGCACGGGATAATCTGAGGTCACGTGTTAAAGAAGAGTGTGTGTCAAATCTCACTTATTCACTGGAGCTTCCAAACTCTGATCAACAACCACACATTTCACTCGCACTTGGATTAGGACTACTGTTTCTGATTTTATGTAAAGCGTCTTTGAGCCTGAGCGCTATAAAAAAATCCAGCAAAGTGAAAGTGGTTAAAAAAAAATTCTGAGGTCACACACACACACACACACACACACACACACACACACACACACACACACACACACACACACACACACACACACACACACACACACACACACACACACTCTGAAGGATACTGTAGACGACCTCCAGAGAGTAGTTCCCTCGGGGCAGCGTGGGCACCATGCCGCTCTTCTTGTTGATGATGCGGTAAAGTTTCCTGAACGTGGGCAGCGCGGCCGTCCTCATCCACACGATGAAGTCCTCGTTGATGAAGCCGTTGTTCCCCTCGTCGGCGTCCAGATCGAAGACCGGCCGACGCCAGTTTATCGGCTTCGTTGTTCCTGAAGGGGAGAGAAAACAACGCAGAAATTAGAGTTGTTTTGCTCCCATTATTCACGAGTTGAAAAAAAAGATCCAATAGTTTTTCTATGTTCACAAAAGGCCTATTTCTTTCCAATATTGTTCACAAATGTGTGTTAATGAGCTGAAATATCCATCCACCTCACGTGTCAGACACAGTAATGCAAACACAGGTATGGTGAAAAAAGAGAGAACTATTTGAAGCAGAAAAAAAACAGCGTAATATACCATCAGACAATGACAGATTTTTCTTTTTGGATATTTTA